GTAGGTGAAAAATAAAATAAAATTAAAACTAAATTAAATCACGACGTTTCGGACGCCACGCAAGTGTCTGTCAACGGGCGGGAAAGCGTGGCCTGCTGCTGATGCAGACCAAAGAGTGAGGGGCTCGGGGTTCTTCGTGTTGCTGGCGATGAAGATCCGCATCGGGTTGAAGAAGCCTCTAGTCACGCGGTCAACACCCAAGTGTAGCTTGTGTTGTGTCGCTGAAGAGTGTTGCTCCCAAGACAACGTCTGCGACCGAGTTGGACTCGACACACTTGGACCCGCCGCCGGGTTCATAGAGCAGCGTAGCGCTAACCGCTACACACCGCTACCCATCGCGCTGTGGGGGTCACCTTGGTCTCGATGTTGCGTCCTCTCAGTGCCGAGCGGACGAAGCGCAGCACGCAGTCCACCAGCCCCTCGCCCTTCCACGTGCTCAGCCGTCCGTCCGGATCTGCCGAGCTCAACTCCCTGCAATGTCACCGCCGTGACGTGAACCCCCGACGTTCCCCGTCGCGTCCACCGCGTGACGTCGCGTCAACCGCGGCGTTCCCCGTCGCGTCCACCACGAAATCACCGCCCCTTACCGTAGGCACGTCAAGGCGTTGCAGAACGCCGCGGAAGGCGAGGCGGACGAGCCGGGTGGGGAGGTTGAGGCGGGCGAGTCTCCAAAGTTGCTCCTCCAGCCGCTCTCTGGCACCAGCACGTGCTCCACCAGCGCCGGGAGGCAAAGCTCCACCAGCGCAGCCCTCAGAGACTCGTGGCACGACAGGTTCCACAGCGTGCCTGGGGTGGTGGGGGGTGGGTGGGGTGGTGGTGAGGTGGGTGGTGAGTGTGGGTGGTGAGTGTGGGTGGTGAGTGTGGTGGTGAGTGTGGATGGTGAGCGTGGGTGGTGAGCGTGGGTGGTGAGTGTGGGTGGTGAGTGTGGGTGGCGAGGGTGGGTGGTGAACGTGGATGGTGAGCGTGGGTGGTGAGCGTGGGTGGTGAGCGTGGGTGGTGAGCGTGGGTGGTGAGTGTGGGTGGTGGTGAGTGTGGGTGGTGAGTGTGGGTGGTGAGTGTGGGTGGCGAGGGTGGGTGGTGAGGGGTGGTGGTGTGGGTGGCGAGGGTGGGTGGCGAGTGGGGTGTGTGAGCGTGGGTGGTGAGCGTGGGTGGTGAGCGTGGGTGGTGAGTGTGGGTGGCGAGGGTGGGTGGTGAGCGTGGGTGGTGAGCGTGGATGGTGAGTGTGGGTGGTGAGTGTGGGTGGTGAGCGTGGGTGGTGAGCGTGGGTGGTGAGTGTGGGTGGTGAGTGTGGGTGGTGAGCGTGGGTGGTGAGCGTGGGTGGTGAGCGTGGGTGGTGAGCGTGGGTGGTGAGCGTGGGTGGTGAGCGTGGGTGGTGAGCGTGGGGGTGGTGAGCGTGGGTGGTGAGCGTGGGTGGTGAGCGTGGGTGGTGAGTGGGGTGGTGAGCGTGGGTGGTGAGCGTGGGTGGTGAGCGTGGGTGGTGAGCGTGGGTGGTGAGTGTGGGTGGTGAGTGTGGGGTGGTGTGGATGGTGAGTGTGGGTGGTGAGTGTGGGTGGTGAGTGTGGGTGGTGAGTGTGGGTGGTGGTGAGTGTGAGTTGGTGGTGAGTGTGGGTGGTGGTGAGTGTGGATGGTGAGTGTGAGGTGGTGGTGAGTGTGGGATGGTGGTGAGTGTGAGTTGGTGGTGAGTGTGGGTGGTGGTGAGTGTGGGTGGTGAGTGTGGGTGGGTTGCTACTGGTGATCTTCTCCAGGGCTTGAGGGTTGTGAGTGCGTCCCAGCAGGCTGGCTAAGGCCGCGAGGCTTCCATTGTTGCTAAATGCCAATGCACCAGCATGGCTGGAGCTGAGGACTTGCAACATCTCGCATGCAGACGCAAGCACCTGTAGGGGCACGGGGAGGTGAGGAGATGCACAAACAACCGCCATTCGCCAGACCATGTGCACCTTGAGGCCACGTGAAGTGTCAAACGCCCACTGGCAGGAGGTCAAGGGGCAAACCCAGGTGCCACGGGTCAACTGAGATGACCGAGATGACTGGCTGATGCACCACCTGTGCCCCCTACTGTGCCAACTTGCTGTGCTTTAGCCACCCGGCGCTCCGCTCGTTGTTGTGAGCGTCGCTCCTCCGCCCTCCGTTGTTGTTGGAGGGCGACTGCCTCACAGACAAAAATCCCCCGTGTAGCCTTAACAGACTGTAGGAGCAAGTGCTGTGAGCGAGTAGCACCTGTAAAGGCCGGCACGGCACACGAGGGGGTCGGTGGCCAACATCACGCCCTTTGTCGCCCTAGCAGCGATGTTTACACATTTGAGGCTGAGTCGACCTACACACACACAGACACATATCCTTGTCCCCCCGTGCGCCCCACTCGTGGTCTCACATCGTCGTCCTCCTCACACTCAACGAGCAGCGTGAATATTGAGCGCAGCTTCCCAGCCGCCCCACACCACCGCCACCGCCAACTTGTCAGGTTGCTGGCAATCACCGCCACCAACGGCAACACCACAACCACCAACACCACCGCCAACACCACACCCCACCACCGCCAACACCAGCACCGCCACTGCCGCCACCACCGCCACCACCGCCAACAACACACCACCGCCAACAACACCACCACCACACCGCCACCACCGCCACCGGCCCACACCACAACCACAACACGCCACACCACCGCCGCCACCGCCACCATCACCACCACAACACCGCCAACCTCCCCCAACCCCCCCCAACGAGAAGCCTCCTCTCTCTCGCTGCCCGCCCCCCTCCGGCGGTGTTGGCTAGTGGCGGCAGGTGGCGGTGCTGGTAAAGAAGCAGCCTCTGAGAGCGCCAATGAAGCCGACACCAGCGGCGCGGCAGGAGCCAAGCGGTGGTTGGGCTGCGGCAGACAGGGGCAGCAGGGGCAGCAGAGACAGCAGCAGGGCGCAGCAGCAGCAGGGCAGCAGCAGCAGGGGCAGGGGCAGCAGCAGCAGGGGCAGCAGCAGCAGGAGCAGGGCAGGGCGTGGAGCGTCAGACAGGAGGGCCGTGGTGGCCATGGTGGTGACAAAGTCCTTCGGCCTGGGAGGGGGAGAGTGGGGGAGAGGTGAGCGTGTGTGTGTAGACATACACACAGACACACACACATTACAACAACAGCAACCGCCATTCGCCACTAAGTGGCCGGTGATGTCAACACGACGCTTGTGCCAGGCCACGTGCACCTTGAGGCCACGTGAAGTGTCGAACGCCCGCTGGCAGGAGGTCACGGAGCAGACCCAGGTGCCACGGGTCGACTGACAGAGATGACTGGCTGATGCACCCACCTGTGGCCCCAACTGTACCAACTTGCTGTGCTTTAGCCACCCGGCGCTCCGCTCGTTGTTGTGAGCGTCGCTCCTCCACCTCCGTTGTTGTTGGAGGGGCGACTGCCTCCACTGCCCAGTAGCGTCCTCACGAGCCTCCTCCACAGAGGCCGATCCTGACACCGCTGGTATCAGTCATCGGCAAGTCCACTCAGCTCCACGTCCTCCTGTACCACATCACTCCATCTCTTCTCTAGCCCGTGCCGCGCCCGTTTAAGCCCCCTCGAATAAGGCCGAACAAAAGCTGTTTAGGCATGCGGTGGCTGGGCATGCGGGCTACATGACCCAGCCAACGCAGCCTTGCCTGCCGGAGGAGCTCACCGATGGGACTTTGCCCAGATCTTTCAAGGAATTGTGAGCTCCTCACACAATCCAGCCTGGTAAACCCAACAACCACCACCACACAAACAACAACCACCCCACAACAACAACCACCACCACACAAACAACAACCACAACAACAACACACCACCACACAAACAACCATCACCACAACAACCACCACCACACAAACAACAACAACCACCCACCACAACCACCACAACAACCACCACCACAATAACCACCACCACACAAACAACCACCACAACAACCACCACCACAACCACCACAACCACCACAACAACCACCACCACAACAACCACCACCACAAACAACTACCACCACTACAACCACCACAACACACCACCACTACACAACCACCACAACCACACCACTACAACACCACACAACCAACAACCACCCAACAACCACCACCACTACAACCACCACCACCACCACAACCACTACAACCACCGCCACAACAACCCACACTACAACCACCACAACCACAACAACCACCACCACTACAACCACCACCACAACAAACCACCACTACCACCACCACAACCACCACCACAACCATCACCACACAACCACCACACAAACAACAACCACCACAACAAGAACCACCACCACAACCACCACAACTACCACCACCACAACAACCACCACCACACAAACAACAACCACCACAACAAGAACCACGACCACAACCACCACAACCACCACTACCACCACCACCACCACAACAACCACCACCACAAACACCACCACTACAACCACCACAACCACCACCACAACAACAACCACCACAACAACAACCACCACTACAACCACCACCACTACAACCACCACAACAACAACCACCACAAAAAACCACCAACCACAAAAACCACCACCACAACAACCACCACAACAACAACCTCCACCTGGGTGCCGCCATCTTGAACTTGGCGATGGTGTCCGGGTTATGACGTCACCGTGAATCGTTTGTTCGATTCTCATCGATTCTAATCGTTGGTTTGCGCGTCTCTCTCTGCTAATCGATTACCATCGATTATAATCATCGTTTTGCGTGTCTCCCGCTCTCTGATGATCGATTATCATCGATTACATTATCCGTTTCCGCTGGCTCCGTGTGGCCTATGAGATGTTGACCACCTCGCCTGGTCTACAGGAGGTCGTGGGTTCGATCTCTCTCTCATCATCATCACGGTGGCTATGAGATGTTGACTACCTCGCCTGGTCTACAGGAGGTCGTGGGTTCGATCTCTCTCTCATCATCATCACGGTGGCTATGAGATGTTGACCACCTCGCCTGGTCTACAGGAGGTCGTGGGTTCGATCTCTCTCTCATCATCATCACGGTGGCTATGAGATGTTGACTACCTCGCCTGGTCTACAGGAGGTCGTGGGTTCGATCTCTCTCTCATCATCATCACGGTGGCTATGAGATGTTGACCACCTCGCCTGGTCTACAGGAGGTCTGTGGTTCGATCTCTCTCTCATCATCACGGTGGCTATGAGATGTTGACCACCTCGCCTGGTCTACAGGAGGTCGTGGGTTCGATCTCTCTCTCATCATTATCACGGTGGCTATGAGATGTTGACCACCTCGCCTGGTCTACAGGAGGTCGTGGGTTCGATCTCTCTCTCATCATCACGGTGGCTGAGATGTTGACCACCTCGCCTGGTCTACAGGACGTCGTGGGTTCGATCTCTCTCTCATCATCATCACGGTGGCTATGAGATGTTGACTACCTCGCCTGGTCTACAGGGGGTCGTGGGTTCGATTCCGACCCTGACGATGCCTGCTGCTGTCTGTGCTAGTGGGGAGCGGTGGTGCAGCGGTTAGCACCCTGGTCTATAAACCTGGCGACCCGGGTTGGAGGAGGTGACGGTGGTGGTGGGTGGGGGGGTGTTGGTGGTGATGTTGGTGGTGGCTGCGAAAGCAGGGAGACGGGAAATTAGTGGCAAATGGCGGTTGTTGTCTGTGTCCCAGCGTGTCTTTGTCTGTGTGTCTGTCTTTTAAAATGTGTCTATGTCCATCTGTGTGTGTCTTTTAAAACGTGTGTCTGCCTCAGTGGAGGAGGCTCGTGAAGGACGCTACTGGGCAGTTGGAGGCAGTCGCCCTCCAACAACAACGGAGGGCAGAAGAGCGACGCTCACAACAACGAGCGGAGCGCCGGGTGGCTAAAGCACAGCAAGTTGGTACAGTAGGGGGCACAGGTGGTGCATCAGCCAGTCATCTCGGTCATCTCAGTCAGTCGACCCGTGGCACCTGCTGGGTCTGCCCCGTGGACCTGCCAGCGGGTGTTCGACACTTCACGTGGCCTCAAGGTGCACATGGCCTGGCACAAGCGTCGTGGTGACGTCACCGCCACTTAGTGGCGAATGGCGGTTGTTGTTGTGTCTGTGTTTGTGTCTATGTCTGTATGTGTCTGTGTGTGTCTGTGTGTCTGTCTGTGTAGTGTATAGAGTAGTGTATAGTGTAGTGTGTAGTGTAGTGTGTAGTGTAGTGTATAGTGTAGTGTATAGAGTAGTGTAAAGTGTACACATTACACGATACACTGTACCAAAAAAACACACTGAGAACGCGCTGCTGATGTTTTATTTGTCTGGCATCATGGCCACACTCCCCGTGTCTCTCTCCCCGTGTGTCTCTCTCCCCGTGTCTCTCTCCCCGTGTGTCTATCTCCCCATGTCTCTCTTCCCGTGTGTCTGTCTCCCCGTGTATCTCTCTTCGGTAACATTCTTCAAATCCGGGATACTCTCTCCGCTTCTCCTTCTCTCAGTAATTACATAGATGCCTACACGGGGAGAGAGGGGAAGGGAGGCACAGAGACAGAAAGACAGACAGAGACACAGAGACAGATACAATTACCAACACAGCACAGAGCAAGGCAGTGTGTAGATTCCAGGCAGTTGGCACTCACCAACTCCCAGCGTCTCTTACCTGAATGTCTACGTCTCACCGTGTCTCCGTGTGTCTATGTGTGTCTCTTGGTGTCTCTGTCTATCTCCATGTGTCTCCGTGTGTCTCCGTGAGTGTCTGTGAGTCTCTGTAAGTGTCTGTGTCTGTGTGTCTCTGTGTATCTATGTGTGTCTCCGTATTTCTGTGGTGTGTGTCTTCGTGTGTCTCTGTGTGTGTGTCTCTGTGTGTCTCTGTATTTCTGTGTCTCTGTGTGTCTTCGTGAGTCTCTGTGTCTCTGTGTGTATGTCTCTATGTGTGTGTCTCTGTGTGTGTCTCTGTGTGTGTCTCCGTGTGTCTCTGTGTGTCTCCATGAGTCTCTGTGTGTGTGTCTCCATGTGTCTCCGTGTGTCTCCACGTGTCTCCGTGTGTCTCCACGTGTCTCAGTGTGTGTGTCTCCGTGTGTGTCTCTGTGTGTGTCTCCGTGTGTCTCCATGTGTCTCCATGAGTCTCTGTGTGTGTGTCTCCATGTGTCTCCGTGTGTCTCCACGTGTCTCAGTGTGTGTGTCTCCGTGTGTGTCTCTGTGTGTGTCTCTGTGTGTGTCTCCGTGTGTCTCCGTGTGTCTCCATGAGTCTCTTGTGTGTGTGTCTCCATGTGTCTCCGTGTGTCTCCACGTGTCTCAGTGTGTGTGTCTCCGTGTGTGTCTCCGTGTGTGTCTCTGTGTGTGTCTCCGTGTGTGTCTCCGTGTGTGTCTCTGTGTGTGTCTCAGTGTGTGTGTCTCCGTGTGTGTCTCTGTGTGTGTCTCTGTGTGTGTCTCCGTGTTGGAGGCAGTCGCCCTCCAACAACAACGGAGGGCGGAGGAGCGACGCTCACAACAACGAGCGGAGCGCCGGGTGGCTAAAGCACAGCAAGTTGGCACAGTAGGGGGCACAGATGGTGTATCAGCCAGTCATCTCAGTCAGTCGACCCGTGGCACCTGCTGGGTCTGCCCTGTGACCTCCTGCCAGCGGGCGCTCGACACTTCACGTGGCCTCAACCTGCACATGGCCTGGCACAAGCGCCGTGGTGATGTAACCGCCACCTAGTGGCGAATGGCGGTTGTTGTTGTCTCTGTGTCTGTGTCTCTTGTGTGTTTCCGTGAGTCTCCGTGTGTCTCCGTGAATCTCTGTGTGTCTCTGTGTGTCTCCGTGAGTTTCTGTGTGTCTCCGTGTGTCTCCGTGAATCTCTGTGTGTCTCTGCGTGTCTCCGTGTGTTTCCGTGAGTCTCCGTGTGTCTCCGTGAATCTGTGTGTGTCTCCGTGTGTCTCCGTGAATCTCTGTGTGTCTCTGCGTGTCTGTGAGTCCACGTGTGTCTCCGTGTGTCCCACTCCTGCGTCTCCCTTTGAATGATCTCGCCAGGACAATGAGGCAGACGAGGGAGAAGATGAGAGGCGGGACTATGGCAACAACCAGCAGAGACCCAGTACCCACACCAGCACCACCACCCAGCACAGAGTCATCCCACACACCATCATCATCATCATCAGCGGCAGCGGCGGTGATGGTGGTTTTGGAAACGGTGATGGTGGTGGTGCTGTCTACACAGACACAGGGAGACACGGTTAGAGATGTGAGAGAGAGAGACACGGGGAGACACGGGTTAGACACGGGGTGAAGATAAACAGACACGGTGAGACATGGGAAGGACGAATAGAGACATGGTGAGACAC